TCAGTTAGGTAATGGCTGAACAAATTGTGGTGTATGAATTTAATGGAATACTATTGTGCTATAAGAAATGATGAGCAAGTGGATTTCAGAAAAACCTGGAAAGACTTACATGAACTGATGATGCTGAGTGAATTGAGCAGAACCAGGAGAACATTGTACACAGTAACACCAACATTGTGCAATGACTGACTTTGATAGACTAAACTCTTCTCAGCATAACATGATTCAAGACAATTCTGAAAGGCTCATGATGGAAAATGCTACCTGGATTCAGAGAAAGAATGATGGATTATGAATGCAGATCGAAGCATACTATTTTCATCTTTGTGTGTGTGTGTGTGTGTGTGTGTGTGTGTGTGTCTTTTACCTTTTGTTCTGTTTCTTCTTTCATAACATGACTAATGTGGAAATGTGTTTACAGGATTGCACATGTATAACCTATATCAGATTGCTTGGGGAGGGGAGGGAAGGAGGGAAGAAAAAAATTGAAAATCAAAATCTTATTAAAAATGAATGTTAAAAACTTTCTTTACGTATAATTGGAAAAGGTAAAATACTGTTTACAAAAAAGTAAAGAACCTCCTGGAACAAGAGACCAAGCTTGCCCAGTTGATTAATAAATTAACAAGCATTCATCAGGAGCTCGCCAAGCCACTTCTTCCTTTTTTCTCACTTATTCATTCCTCTCATAATCTTCTCCAAGACTCAAGTACTCTTTACTACCAGCTTTCCTCTCTTTCAGCAGTGGTTCTTGTCTTTTACTTTGATGAGAAAATTGAGACCATCTATCACTGTGTTAGGTGCTAGGGATAGACAAAAACAAAACAGTCCCTTCCCTCAGGTAAATGCAAAATAACATTTTCCTTGCAAAGAGATTCCCCTAAGGCTGAAGACTTGACCACCCAAGAATCATTAAATCAGTAGGAGTTGCTTTTTGAGGAACCATGTTTGAACAGCACCATTGAGGTTTTTACCTTAACCTTTGGTACTGAGAGGGACTAGATTGACACTTTCCATTGTCATTAGAAGAGCCTTCCTGGTAGTGTCCTAGACAAATGGTCCTTCTCCCACCTCTTCTTTTCTCTGTAACTCAGAGGACCCTGTCTAAGCAAAAACTCCTTTCTCTGCTATGACTGCTTTATGCTTGTTTATCTACAGTCATCTCATCACTACCTGTCCTGAGCCCTATCTGGCTCTGCCCTTCCGTTTTGCCATCTGGCACACATTCTATCATTAGTTAATTCCTCTTGAGCCCAGAACTTTTCCTTGTACTCTCTTTTCATCTTTTTTCATTTACAAAATTCTGACTCTCTCTAGAATATATTTCATCCCCTCATGCCCCCTCCAGTAGCATGTGCTCCTGACTGGTCAAGAAGAGTGATGGGTATGTACCTTGTTCTTCATTCCCCTTTCCAGTCTCTTTCTTTGTCACCATAACTCAGTAACTTCACCTTTAAGGTTCACTCAACTCATCTGTCGATGTCCCTTTCTTTCATCTACGAACCCTGTGGTTATTTTCCTTCTTTTTTCAAGGAGTACAGCACCTGACTTAGTCTTCTCTGAGGGGAACTTTAGGATACCCTTTGAAGATTCCCTCAAACACTTTTGCTTCCTAATTCTTCAGCTTCATCTCCCATGACCTAGCTCTTCACTTTATTTTGGCCATACATCTTCATGTCAATGAGAAAATACCATTGATCTTACTATCATCTATAACTGTGCCACCTTTATAGTTCTGAACTCTAATTGTAATTCCACTTTAATCATAATTTCCTATTCATCTGTCTTTTCTTCTACATATCCCTAACAGTTATGTGTCTGGCACATAGTGGATGCTCAGTAAATATATGCTGATTAATTAAATCTGTTCTTTGGCCTAACTGCCATCTCTAATACACTCTGTACCCATCCACCGCTTATTTTACCAATCCATCTTGCTTTGATCTCTCTTTCCTCACTCCACAGTCTTCACCCTGTGTTTCACCAATTCAGTAATATATTGCCCTTGTGTTCTGATCCTCTCAACCCTCATATCTTACTAAATTTGAGCCGAGGATTATTGGCACCATCTACCTTCTCCATTCCTACTTGCATATTATTGAACCATTCTGATAGGGTCTACTGTAAAGACATTATCTAATCTGAACTGGGACCTAACTGTTACATTACAATTTTTTTTCGCCTTATTGACTATAACATTCCTCTCAGAATCTTCTCCAAGACTGAAGTACTCTTCACTACCAGCTTTCCTCTCTTTCAGCAGTGCTTCTTGTCTTTTACTTTAATGAGAAAATTTGAGACCATCTGTCATGAACTCCTTCTCCTCCCATATATAATATAAATATATTATATAATGATATAATAATAATAATAATAATATAAAGGTCATGCCTTTTCTAGATCATCAGTCAATCAACATTCGTTATTTATTAAATATTTACTATGAGTCAGCCTCTGTGCTAAGCACTGGGGATACAAACACAAAGAAAGTCTGTGCCTGTCAGGAGCTTACATTCTAAGGAAGTAGGCAATATATATAATATGTTATATATATTACATATATATGCATATATACATATATACCCATGTATATGTATATACACATGCATGTGTGTATGTGTACATGTATACACATGTATATATACATATGCATATATGTGTGTATATGTCTATGTAATTCAGTAATAAAATGAATGCAGAATGTATGGAAGGTAACCTTAGACAATACCTTTGATTTGGTCTCTGATAAAGAGATGACCCTTCTTGCCAAGACCAGCTTCCCTTGTCCCACATTTGTAACCTTGATCCAGTTATTTCTGTCTCCTGTGGTCCTTTCCTTATTTCCCTTCCTGTCATTTTCATTCTATTTATTTTTGAGATTGTCGTCTTGATATTCTCTCTAGTTTTTCGTGGCACTACTCTCTTGATTCTTCTCAGTCTCCTTTGCTGCCTCTTTGTTTGGTAATCCTCGCTAACCATGAATGTCCCTCAGCACTCTCTCCTCTTCTCTTCTCCCTCTTTATTTTTTTCCTTTGGTGATCCTATCAGCTCCCATGGATTCAGTTATCATGTTCCTGATGATTCCTCAGCCTGATGTTTTAAGTTCATCACAATTTAACTTCACAAACTCTCATGTTTTTTTCTCTTCATGTACTCTCTATTCCAGCCAAACTGACTTACGGTTTTTTTCTTTTCTTTTTTAAAATAATATTTTATGTTCCTCCCGATTACAATTTTATGTTTTCCCCAATAATTTTCCCTAATTTTTTTCCCAAAACAATTAAAAAAAAGTTTTGATTTTCAAATTTTATCCTTTCCCTCCCTGAGATGGAAAGCAGTCCTATATAGATTTTATGTGTACAGTCATCTAAAACATTTCCATATTAGTCATTTTGTTCAAGAAAACTCGAACCAAAAAAAAGAGAGAAAAATAGCATGCTTCAATCTATATTCAGACCATATCAGTTCTTTCTCTGGAGGCAGATAACATGCTTCATCTTGAGTCCTTAGGGATTGTCTTGGATCATTGTATTGCCGAGAATAGCTAAGTTATTCACAATTCTTCATTGAACAATATTGCTGTTACTGTGTATGATGTTCTTCTGGTTCTGATCACTTCACTCAGCATCAGTTCATCTAAGTCTTTTCAGGTTTTTCTGAAACGCCTGCTCATCATTTTTTATAGCATAATAGTATTCCATCACAATTATATACCACAGCTTATTCACCCATTCCCTGATTTATGGGTATCCCCTCGACCAATTCTTATCCACCACAAAAAGAGTTACTGTAAATATTTTTGTTCAAATAGGTCTTTTTTTTTCTTTTGGATATCTTTATGATACAGACCTAGCAATTGACCTACAGTCTTTTGATGAACCATGTACTTAATTTCCTTTCTCTGTAACTTTTTAAAATAGTATTTTATTTTTTCTAATTACACGTAAAGACAAATTTTAGCATGATCTCAAAGTTAAAGCTAAAATAGATTTAACCAAAAGATAAAAATAGGAAAATCACACTGTGTCAGCAATTTTATTCAGTATTGTTTTAGACCATTTAAAATAACTAGACAATATGAAAACCTGAGAGCATACCTACCAAAACAGACACAGGAATTATATGACTATAAACATAAAACACTTTTTATGCAAATAAAGTCAGATCTAAGTAATTGAAATAATATTTATTGTTCATGGGTAGGTAAAGCCAATATAATTTAAAAAATGACACTTTTACCTAACTAATTTGTTTATTCAATGCCATCCCAATTAAATTACTAAAAAAATTATCTTACTGAGTTACAAAAAAATAATAAAGTTCATATGGAAGAGCAAAAGGTCAGGAACTTGAAAGAAAATAGGGAAAATAGATGCAAAGGAAGCAGATTCATCAGTATCAGACCTTAAACTATAAGATAGCACGTTGAAGTGTAAATTGGATAATTTTGATTATTTTAAATTAAAATTTTCTTATATAAATAAAATCTATGCAGGCAAAGATAGAAGGAATGCAGAAAATTGGGAAAAAACTCTCAGATAAGATGTGATTGTGTTGGAATATTGCTGTGGTATAGGAAATGAGCTGATTGATTTAGAAAAACATGGAAAAACTTGGACTTAGGAAGGAAGATGCTATCCACCTTCAGAAAAAAAGATGACATGTGGAAATAAGCGTAGTATGGTCTTCATATGTGTGTGTGTGTGTGTGTATCCACATTTAATTGTAGCCTTCTTTAGGGTGGGGGGGAGTAAAAAGTGTGCTGCAGAGAACAAAAGAAAACCTACAAGGAAGCAAAAAAAAAAAAAAACAACTGAGCAGCTTTGAAAACGAAGTGTAGTATTTTATTGTAAGGGTTTTCTTGAAATGGATATTTTATATTGAATCCTCTTCTATGTTCTGCTGTGTACATGGCCGTGTTTTTTTCTTTCTTTTCTCCTTTTGTATTTAAACTTAAATAAAAAAATTTACAAAAAAAAAATTTAAATTTTTTTTTTTAGGATCTTGACAAAACTTCTGGAGGTGTCAGATGATCCACAGGTCTTAGCTGTTGCTGCTCATGATGTGGGAGAATATGTACGACATTACCCACGAGGCAAACGGTAAACATCTTTTCAGTATCTGAGAAATGACTAGCATCAATATTTTTATTTTAATGTTGTAATGGAACCTCTTTTATTTCTTTAAAAAATATTTTTTCTTCATATTTGAAGGGTCATTTACATTACACTTTACTCATGGCTGACTCAGTTGAACAAATATTAAGTTTCTTCTGTGTGTAAAGCACTGTGCTACTAGGCATTGAAAATAGAGAGTAGGAGAACACCACAGCCCCTTTTGTGAGAAAGCTTTTCATCTGACAAAGGGAATGAAATATGGTGGCCTTACAGTAAGGTGGCCTGCTGCAGTCTCTGCTCCTGTGGCCTTTTCTCATTTCTCATTGTCCTCGATCTCTTTGCAGCATTTGATACTGTTGGGCATTCCAGTTTCTTGACCTTCCTAGCATTGCAATATCATGTTCTTTTTTGTTTCTGACCATTCCATTGTTGGTTTCTTTTAACAAATGTTAGAAACAAGTGAAATGTGTATGCAAAAGGCAATTTTTTGTAGGATGGTTAGTGAGTTGTTCATTTTAGGGATTATATTTCAGAGAGGGTTTATTTCTCTTATGATTAGGGAAGTCTTCACAGAGAGGGGAGGGATTTCCAGTGACAACTTGAATAACTTAGTAAGTTGATTCTTGGAGAGCATTTCAGTTAAGGAATGTAGCTAGAAATGAGAGGGTGATAATCATTTTTTTTTTTTCCTTGGCTAGGCAGTGGGGTTAAGTGACTTGCCCAAGGTCACACAGCTAGTAAGTGTCAAGTGTCTGAGGTTGGATTTGAACTCAGGTCCTCCTGACTCCAGGGCCACCTAGTTGCCCCTGATAATCACATTTTTGGGACAGAATAATCAAAGGAGAACAGAGGGAGAGTAGGCAACTAAGAGGAAAAGGAATTAGGTTGAATTATACTTGTGAGACACTGAACTTTAGAGGGTGAGGAACTTAGTTCTGATCTTTAATGCAAAAAGAGGCAACTGTAAGTTTATAGGAGAATGTGTGATAGTGTTGAAGTGGAGAAAACTTTTAACAGTAGCTTTGATTGTTTGGACTAGGTGTATATTAGTAGTGAGGAATCTGTACAACAATCTGAAGTCTGTGAATTAAAAAAATTTTGATAACTATATTTGAGTATGATTAGTTTCCTTTGTAATCCAGTGTGTTCAATTTTATGCATTTAAAAACATTGTTCTCAGAAGGGGTCACAGACTTTATCAGATGCCAAAGGGTCCATGGCACACAAAAAGTTGAGCTCTAGAGGATGTAGAGGATGAAGTTGTAGTGATCACGATGATGATCAAAGATCAAGATGAACAGTTTATGATGATAGGCAGGTTTGGTAGATCATAAAATTACAGATTTTGAGATGTAATGAATTTTAGAAATCATTAATCCAATTTTCTCATCTTATAGATAAGCATCTGGGGCCCAGAGAGGTTAAGTCAGTGGTGTCAAATTAAAATAGAAACAAATCCATCCCATATCCCTGCAGATTCATATTGGCTTAGAAAACCACAAATGAACATCATATATATTGTATTATATTTTAATTTTGTTAAACATTTACTAATTCCATTTTATTGTGGTTCCTGCCAGCCCACAGGCTTCGATTTTGACACCTCTGTTTTAAGTGACTTACCTAAGGTCACACAGGTGGCAAAAACAGCATTTGAATTTAGGTCTTCTATCTCCAAATTCAGCACTTTTTTCTCTGTATCTTTCTGATTGAGTAGATTAGTTGTGTATTTAAAAGAAATATATGAAAATATTCTTGTTGAATAAGGATATTTTAATAGTAATGGGAAGTAGGTAGTATCATTAGAAACCTTAACATGTGTTACATATAATTCGTATTTTCTGGATTTGTTGTTGGTATTGATGGAGTTCTACCCCAGCCTTTGACTTTTTCTGTAAGCTAGTCAGAACTTTAAAATACAAATGTCATAATATTAAATTCCATTAATTTACAGCTTAACCTATATATGAGTTGGTTTTCTTTATTCCTTTATGATTAGAGAATATATTATAGCCAGCAAATTCCTACTTCCTGCTCCTTTAATTGCTAAACTTTTCTTTCTTATTCTACTCTAATCCATATCTAATTTTTTTAAAAATTAAATTATTTGCTTTTAGTTTTCACCAATCACCTCCATAAGCTTTTGAGTTTTAAATTTTCTCCCCCTCCCTCCCCATCTCTCTCCCCAAATTGGCATGCAGTCCAGGCTCTACATATACATTCTTATTAAACATATTTTCACATTAGTCTGTTGTAAGGAAGAATTAGAACCAGTAGGAGGAACCACAAGAAAGAAGAAAAAGAGCAAATAGTATGCTTCGATCTGCATTCATAATCCATCTTTCTTTCTCTGAATCCACATAGCATTTTCCATCATGAGACCTTTGGAGATGTCTTAGATCCTTGCATTGGTGAGAAGAGCTAAGTCTAAGTCTATCAAAGTTAGTCATCACACAACATGCCTGTTACTGTGTACAATGTTCTTCTGGTTCTGCTCACTTCACTCAGCATCAGTCCATACAAGTCTTTCCAGGTTTTTTTTGAAGTCTGCTTGCTCATCATTCCTTATAGCACAATAATATTCCATTACATTCATGTACCACAACTTGTTCAGCCATTCCCCAATTGATGGGCATCCTCTCAATTTCCAATTCTTTGCCACTACAGAAAGAGCTGCTAAAAATATTTTTGTACATATGGGTCCC